ATTCAAACATGAAAATTATGCCATTTCTGTTGATCGTTAGAAGCAAACAAGTAAATGTGCGTGTTTTGAAATTATGTGCGCGGAACTATCGCACATTAAATCCCATTCGTAGCGCCTTATTTCACTCTTTATTTATTTATTTTGTTCATTTTTCATTTGTCGTTCACTATTTCGTTGCTGCTGCCGCTGCTGCTGCTGTTTTTTTCTTTCGCCAAATAAATTTTTATTCAACATTTCTTCGACATTATGCGCAGAGAGAGAGCGTGTGTATTGTACCATCCAAGGGTAATATTTTACAGGATTTATTCCGGGAAAAATATGAAATGACTAAATTTTATGGACTTTTCGTACTAACAACTCCGACTACTGTTCGGCTCATGAAATGCAATGCGCAGAACAATTGTATATATTTTGCCATATTCTGAGTGCTTTGCTTTTCTTTCCGTTTCGCTGTACAAGTTTTTATCTGGTTCACCGCCACTGCTAGCTGCCGTCGACAATCAGAGGAAAAACACACGACAATAACACACAGTAAATGCATAAATACCCAAAGAAAAAAACGTAAAAATACTTTTGAAATCCAATACTACACACACAGAGCACAAAACCGATGGGACAAATTCACGAACCAAACCGAAAAAAAACCACCAACGAGCTGAAGTATTAAATCGAACAAAACAATGTCGGGAATTATTTGCTTTCTCTCTCTCTATCCTCTACACTTAATGCATTTTTATATACAATTAGCGACGGTTAATAAATTCACGAATTGCGTTATTTGATATTTTAATATCATTTTAAGCCCTCTTCCAGTGCTTTTTTTTCGCTGTTCTGTTGTTGCTCCGTTTGTAAATTATTCGGTTTGGTGGTTTTTTTTTTGTGTTAGCTCTGCCTTCATTCATTTGACGGTGGGCTCTGTGATTGGCGTGAGCAGTAAATTCGCGTTGAGGAGGGAAAGAGAGACCACAAATCAACATGCGAGTGAAGAAAAAATAGTAAAAGTTTTGGCTGAAGTTTCTTTTTAAATCGTCCCGAAATGAAGTGAACAGAACAATAATAATGATATTTTTCTGTTGTTGTTCTTTCCACCGAAATCGTATTTGGGTAGTACACGCGAAAAAAAAGTACAATTACATGGACTTGTGAACAAAGAGGAATGGAAGAGAAAGAGGATGAGGACGAAAGGGAGCGATAGAGAGAGAGAGAGAGAGCAAGGAAAATGTCAAATACCCCACACGAAGTACAGCACACTGTCATTTAAAGTAAGTGCGTCTTGGCAATATGTATCAAACTTTTGCTTGATATCTTTCTTTGAGCAATTATCATTACTGTTGCCGTTGCCATAATTGAGTTTGAATCGCAATTGGTTTGCAAAAACAAATAATTCAAATACTATGTACCGTCGATTTTTTCCGGCACAATGCTTCAACCGTTGTTTTTTTTTCTTCGTATTCAAATTCGTTGACTGTTTGAATTTTGTTTGGTGTTTCAGCAGCAGGACATGATTTTTAAATGGATTTCTGCACTAACCAGAAAAACAAAACGATTTTTTTTGCTTCAACTCAGCACATTGGAAACCAACAACATCCGTTAGTTTGGGTTGGTAATACCTACCACAAGCAATCTTCCGAATTTGCATTGTATAAACACAAATTGTTTTGATGAATTTTATTGCAATTTTTTATGGATTACCATGGTAAAAATATAGTTTTTTTTTCTACCGATTCAGTGTAAATTTTGTTTTCATTCAATGAGTTGGTTGGGTAGCTTTGTTGTTCTTCATTCGGTATTTGCTTGAATCAGAATTCATTGGATCAGGTTCGGTTGTTTTTTCTGTTGAGTGTGTCAAAAAAAGATGCGTTGGTCGAGAAATCTTCGTTTTTTCAATGAATGTTGCCTTTTCACAGTAAGAATGGAATTAATTTCATTGTGTGTTGCGCTCACTCTTTTTTTCCTCTTCTTCTTCTTCTCTGCGATATAAAAAGCCAACATTTTGAAAAGGGTTAGCAATTAAACGCATCCTCACACACAATTCAAGACTGTAAGTGAAATAATTAAAGACTCTCTCTCTCTCTCTCTCTCTCTCTCTTTCTCTCTCTCGTTCACCAAAAAATGGTGGCGAAATATATGTACTCCGGCAATGGGCGCACACGCACATAAACAATACACTGGAGACGACAAGTGTACGGGAATAAAATACGGCAATTTCGGCCATGGTGGTCTGAGTCGTCGTCATCAGCATCGCCATCGTCATCGTCAGATGGACTCACTGGAGAGAAAGGGAACAAGAAGATGTGCAAAAGTATTTTGTCGCCACTCCGAAAAGTCTGTGCACAATAATTTATTATACTCTTTGTCTTTTGTGCGGCCGAAAAAGTGCTCGTTGAAAATGTTGATTGCGTTTTATTCCGTTTTGTGCCACTGTTGTTGTCCATTCAATGTGGCAACAGAGGTGTGAGAGTGCAATAGCAAAAGTTTCATTTTCAAGCATTTTGTCCGTTTAAATTATCTGGTGAAAACGTTTAACATACACTTTCATTCGTGTTTCAAGCAAAATGAATCATGTCGGATTCGTTATATCGTTTTATTATTTACACAAAATTATTCATTGACGCTGATCATTTCGTGAGATTTGATCCTTTTACGAAGTGCTTGTTCGAGTCGGGATGAATCTATATTGAAATGTGACTGTCGCCATACGTGAATCGTATGACAAGCTCTCGTATACACGTATGTGTAATGAGTTACAGTTTACAGTGTCTCTCCCTCTCTCTCTCTTTGTCTCGCTCACAAAAAAAGGATGAATTTCAAATGAGTCGCCGAGCAGCAGCAACAGTATTTCAATTAATACACCGAACACACATTTACCAACACTACTCGCACTCAACTATGTGAATCTCTGCTGAAAATCTATTTACAACCGCATCAATTATTTAAAATCGGAAATAAAAGTTAACATCCATTCGATGTGCGCATCGCACGTGTTGACAACCAGCAACCAGCATCACTGTCAAAATAGATTCTAAGTTTTGAGCTAAGCGAAATTCTTGAATTTTGTATTGAGTCAGTAATTTTGACGTGATTGTAAAATGTAACGACAAAAACCAATTGGATTTCAATTAATGTTTAATGCCGGGAGTCGTGAGTACCAAATGCGATGCCGTGTATTTTCTTTGGTAAATTGTTTTGCCATTCGACAGGTTCCGACGCTTTGCATCAACACACAGTTTATTTATGCAGTAAAAATTTATGTGCGAGAACATTTCGTATGTTGAAATGAATCGTCGAAATGACGATTTTAGATCGGTCGATCTGAATAGCTGTGCGTGCATAGCTCTTCTTTTTTTTACTACGAAATATAAATCAAGTTGTGTGCGTGCACGTAAAAATCTTTTTGCAGCGATGACAAGGGGCGGGAGGTAATATACAAATACTAATTTCGTTTTCGGATCGAATAATTTCATTAAAATCTAATTTTCCCAATGTAAAATGTTTGCATCGAGCCGATGAATTCGTTTATCGTGGATTGGTTTTACCGTTTTGGTTGCCGGTGTGCGGAAAATTGATGTGGCAACCGATTCTCTGTGTGCATGTATGAACACATTAGTGATGTTGCAAAGGAAGCACAAAACATGCGACCGAGTCGAGAAGAGAAGAAAAAAAACCAACACCACCAACACCGTGTTTCACCCATGTCATATGAAAATTAACCAATTTAATTGCAATTTCGCAGCAGACCGTCATTTTCGACTTGCATAAATGAGAGAGCGAGAGAGCATGCACATAATGCGATGAGGTTGGAGCGTACATAGACAAATGTTCCGCTATATATACTGCAGTGTACACAGACGATGGATAAAAAAAAATTCAACTCATTTTTCGCAAGTATTTTGTCATGGGTTCAATTGCAGTGTGAATTAACAGCAACCTTTCAATAACCGGAAATCAATGAAACAGTACCGAATCTTGAAAATGAACATGAACTGTGTATTCGTTTGAGCGGTTGTAGACGATATAAATATTGCCGTCGCAAGCGTTGTTGGACCGCTTCGTGTTTGGTTCGGTTGCACCAGAGAAAAAGAAGTTGAGTTCATAATTTTAATTTTTGTCGCGACAAATTCCCTTCTGCACAGAGAGATGTTGCGAGCAATGTGCGCGACGGAGTGTGTTCCGGTTATGTCTGAGGTGCATATTTGTACATCCACTTCTGTGTTCGCTCGTGAATCGAGTTTTGTGTGCTTATGCTGCTGCTGCAAGGGGTGGCTGTTTCGAATATACAATTTTTCCGTTTATTTTGCCGCTGAGAGCGATATTCGATACGGCATTCGATTAACCACGCGAATTTGGTGATGCGGCCCGCCAACACCATAGCCGAAACTGCATTTTCACTCACAGGACATATGTATAGACACGCAGAGAGAGAGAGAGAGAGAGAGAGAGAGAGAGAGAGAGAGAGAGAGAGAGAGAAAGAGAGAGGCAGTGGATGGGATTCGGAATAACAGCCGACATTCCGTTTATGGAATGAGGCAAACAAAATAAACACACCACCAGCACCCAATGCAGAGATATTTTTCCAAAACGGAACACAATGGGAGCAACGGCGAGAGTGAAGAAAAAACGACGAGGAAAAACACAACGCGGAAAAAATTGCGACGCGCTCTAGACAATACGGCGAGGAGATTTCGAATACAAATAACACACTGTAACCGGCAACTTTTGTGCAACATAAAAAATATACAACCCGAACTCTTTTTTTGCCTCTGTCTCTCTCATTCTCGTATTTAATTTCAGAACTTTTTTTTTCTCGTAGATTTCATTCTATTCATGTTTGATTGACCACTTCACAAATTTTTAACTCAATGAAAATGGAAGGAAAAAAAACGCTCGGAAAATGCTGTCGGTAATTTTCGACAGAGACAGAACAAAAAAAAAACACATAACAATTTGTACACAAAATCAAACACATTTACGAAAAATGAAAAACTTGGAAATAAGCTTACCTTCACGAATTTGTCAAACACAATTTTTCAAACTCAATACACCAAACAGTTTTTTTTCTTCTATCTTTAACTTTGCTCTTCAGTCGCTATTCTCTAAGTCGAACTGATTCATTTGAACTCAATTGAATTACTAAAATGAAGAAAACGGCTCGCCAAAAATCAATGTCAATTTTCTATTCTTTCTTGAGACGATTGTCGCTCGCTGTTTCTTTTTTCTTTCTTTTGTAATAAATTTTTCGATAATTGTTCGATAACAAAAAATTTACACAATTTTACGCTTTAATTGCATTCAAATTGCTTTTCACTTGGAAATTTATAAATGTCCGTTGATTTTCTTATCTAGCGAATAAAACTTCACCAATTAATTTTTCGTAATTTTTTAGTTCAGCCAATTTTTTTTTATGTCCAAAACACTATTTTATGGTTTTTATTTTTTTAATTCACTTGATTTCAATTGGAAAACAAAAATTTACTCCACTTCAGTAAATAAAATTTGTTGCTTTTTATCTTTCTCGGGAGATCAATTTTCAACAGTTTCTCGTCTGGTAAATAAAATGAAAAAAAAAAAAAAATCCAAATAAAATTTGCACAACACAAGATTTCAATTTCTCAAAACCAAAAAAAAAAAAAAAAATCGATGATTTGAAATTCCAAAAAAAATTCAACAAAATTGATTCAAAAATGTTTCCACCATGAAAAAATGTTTTAAAAAAATGAATTTTTATTGAGTTAAAAAGTGCAGAAAGAAGATGTGTACAATTGCTTAAGAAAATGGGTTATATGAAATTCTGTAATTGTTCGGGCTGACCAACGCAAGCCACACGTTGCACATTGAGAACGTTCAAACGTAAACTAACCGCTCCTTATCAAAAAGCATTACAGCGAACACTTAGAAGCAAGTTGGAGTATAGCCGAAACACCGAAAGTATACACACCAAACAGTGTATGAACGGTGTGTACAAAGCAAAGCGACATGTACACACAGGAGAGTAAATGAATGGAAGAAGGCAAACACATAAAACCGAACAACAATAACTAGAGGAAAATATAACACATGAGAGTTGGCAGAGAGAGAGAGAGAGAAAAAAGAGTCAACACACGAACGTACGTACGAACAAACGAACGAACAAATGAGCGAGCGAGCGAGCGAGCGAAACGAAACGCCAACTAAACTAAAACGAACGACAACGACGGCGATGCGAAAAGAGGATCGCAGACAGTACGCAAGAATGGGAAAGAGAAAGAAAAACAACAACCGAACAACGAAATAATACACCAAACTAAATACTACACGACTCGCACACAAAAGAATGTTTGTAAGTTGATGACGATCGTCAACCAACCAGCCGAACTCAGCGTAAGTAAGGAGACGGAGCAACTATAAAAAAAAATAACAACAACATAAGCCATTGAGCGTATGGAGTGTGTACTGCATTGAAAGCAAAGCACACACACACGGCACACACACAGCACATACATCGCATATGAGTAGATAGCGTTTGCACAAATACATAGTCGGCGGGGCCTCCGGGTTCGGTCAGTCATTCGCAATCCGAATGAGCCGAAACGCAACGAGACAAACGAACACACGACACAGTGAACGCATTCTATGTGGTTTTATCGTGAGGATGGCCAGTCTTGGTGAGAGTTTAAGTGGCCCCGAAAACACAGAAGAAAAAAAACTATTTGTGCACGTTCTCCCTCTCATTTCCATCTCCTTCGACGCAGCCAAGCTGTGTAGCGGCGACGAATAAATGTGGAGTAAATTGTAGTACATCGATGAGATAGAAAATAAAACAAGAATCACATACGAAAATGATTTTCGAATTGCTCGTTTGCTCATTCCTTTGCTTGTTGGCTGGCTTGCTCGCTCGTTTGTTCGTCGAAGATGTATTTCGATTGCGAGCGGTAGATTCACACGGAACACTTTATACATACGATTCAGTGTGATCGTATCTCGTCGATTCGAACGTCACGTGTCACCTCTGCTGTATCGTCCAAGCGGTTCTCGCTTGCTAACATTACTTGGTGGCCTATATCAACACATCATTTCGCATGGAAATACACGCGCTCATTAATGCAGTTCGAACAATATAAACCTGCGCATATTGCACATTACTTTACACATTCATCTCAATGCTTCATCCCATCTTCGGCTCTGCTATTCACTCAATTCCATTGCAAGATGCTGAGTGGTTCGTCTATTAACTCCAACGTTTCACGAAATCAACGATGCAAAATTATCTGGAAACGAAAATCGATACCATGAAAACCAACAGTAATGAACGTAATGAACTAATTGAGGATGCAAGAGTGCTCCAAAAGGTGGAAAATGGATCTAATCAATGGAATCGCAGTAAATGTCAACATTAATTTAAAGAATTTTCTCAACCGTCTTCCGTTTTGTTCACCTTCTTTCTTACTTTCATTCAATTTACTCCTCGGAGATTTCTTTTCAATTACATTTGATTGCGTTGAAGAGCGTAATTTGAAGTAAACGTACTTGGATTTTTCACGCGCCTGAATATCTCATAGCGATGTAATGAAGATAGTTAAGGAGTGCCCATTACAATCAGCGTGAACAATCAAAATTATGTGTAAACCGAGCAATTCACGCGCGGTAAAACTGTGTGTCTGCATGTTCGGTATATGCAGTTACTTAGGCTCTTTAGTTTGCCACAATCGGAAATGAGTAGTAAATCGATGAGGAGGAAAAACCATTAGAAGCTTAAGTGCTAATGTTGATTCGTGCACAAAATCAAAGAAAAGAATAAAAAAAAAACAACAGCAGCCCCCGCCACCGCCGTCAAAAAGGAAATAACAAAAAAAAATAGACTCAAGGATTGAAAGCTTTAGCAAGGCACAAGAAAAGACGAAACAAAGCGGTGGTTTTTTTTTGTGTTAGTCATATCAATCAACCATATTCCGATCATTGAGCACGTCAATATCCTATTTCTAGTGTTTTGTTTTTCTTTTGGGTTCATTTTGACAATTCATACTTTTTCCGCGATGACGCTTCTCATTCTTTTCACTCTAAATTATGAAATTGAACGGCGTTCATTATTATCGGAACTGACCCGAACGCGCGCGTGCGATGCGCCGCTCTCGTTCGCGTATATTTCAGGTACTTAGCTTAATTATTTGTGAGCGGCTTTCTTTACAAACGACTATCAATATTTGATTACTAATATCGAAAATTGCCAATATCGCATTCAATCAATTTAACTTAGAGTCAAACAACAACAACAATGAAACGAACTTGACAAAAAAAAAATTGGAAAATACGGTAAAAAATGGAGAAGAAAAAAGCGAAAATAAAACGACAAACGCATTAGCAACGATGATGTGGCACCATATCACACCGTTGTCGTCGTCGTTGTCGCCGGAAATCGAAGCAGTTATCAAAATCCCGTTATTACTATTATTATTGCCGTCGATGGATTACGTGTTGTGTTGTTCAAATGCTAGCCCTAGTTACTGCCACACATCGATGAACGAGAGAAAAAAAATGTTATTCTTTCAAAAGTAATGCGAAGTGAAGAAACGGAAAAAGAGCGGAAAATTGAGGTAAAACGCCGTCATTGTCGATGTGGACGCATATATCAAACTACGCATACAGGCCAGAGCATATTTTCACAAATCCATACAACACAGCCCAGAACCAATCGAGATATAGAGAGAGAAAGAGAGGAAATAAAACCATATATAAACAAATAAATGAGAAAATTGAACTAGGATGTCATTCAAAATTTAGGCTTTACCTTTTTTTTTCGAAAAAAATGAAAACATTTATTTTTTTTATCGCTTGAGAAATGTCAATTTTCATCAGATTCAACCCCAATATCATTTTAGCCCAATGAAATATTTGAAAATGTATATATAAAGATGTAGCGTCAGAGAAGCGTGTACACAGACCGTATGTCCAATGTTACACTGGCCGTGTTACAGCATTTTATTTTGAAATGAAATCACTAAGCGGGCGGAAAATGTAAAAATGCGATTCAATTCGACGAAAAGCGAGCGAGAATGAGATTGGGGAGAGTGTACATGTTACTGTCAGAGCATGAGTCAAAAATGTTCTTAAAGTAAGTGTTACGTCGTATGGGGCTGTTGCTGGCTGGCTCATTCACTTCAAACTCGATACCGTACCAAATCCCGGTGAAAAATCATCTATTAAATTGTTTTTATTTATGATGATCATTCTCGAAACCAGTTCTATTTATGAATTCGGGCTCTTGTTTTTCATTTCTCTCTGAAATCGAGTGACTTTTTTCGACCACTTCGAAATATATCCAACATGCCAAATAACGGTTATTCCAATTACATCGTTGATGCTTTTTGTTAATTCATATGCTACGGATTTTACCTAAATATAATTCGCGTATCGAAATAGAATCAAAAATCGAAAATAATCGTTTTTTAGCGAGAAAAAAGTCTCGTTCGAAAGGTTTCGCATCTTCCAGAAACAAACAATATATTTTATTTATATTTGTTTATCGAGTAATGCGCTTTAATGATGTGTTTCCATTCAATCCTATTGTTCTTTGACGCCCAAAAAACGGCGATTTTCTCGAATTTGGCTTTATAAGCGTCTCATCAGTTTTTTTCTTCTGTTTTTCTCGTTCGCATGCACGCCATTTCATCTCGTGGGAGGGAATGGAGGTATAGTTGTTTACTTGTGGTTATTATTATGCTGTTTGTGTTTCAAATGCTCTGCATGATGTATTATGGTATTACTTAGTTGAACGAATTCCCATTTCTCGAAATAGGGTGATTCAACCTGATTAAAGTCTAATGCCGGGATCTTCCTTTTTTAGAGAGCCTCAGTTACCTCGTTACATCTTTCGATATGCTTCGCTGATGTCGTACTACATTTCCATTTTGAATATGTGCGTTGGACGGCGACTTTTTTCCCTTCGTTTCTTATTCCATAAACGATATCAAGTACAGAAATGTTTAAATTCGCAACCGTGCGAGGCGGCTATTAAAGATATCGTTATTGCATCCGAAATTGTTGTTGATCGAAAATTTTTGGAATTTTCTGGTTCGGGTTGTGTCCTCAGCTTCGAACGAATGGACATCGAAGAAAATCGAATTCTTATATGCTCTCAATACTTTACATCATATATTATATTTGGTAAGCTCGTTGTTTCCCTTTCGATTTTTCTTCCTCTTCTCCCTCTTCTTCCGCTTCTTCTCCTTCTGCTGTTCTGCCTGCCAATAAACGGCACTATCAATATAACGAGAATGTAGAGAACGAGTCGAAAATAGCAAAACGGTTAAAAGTCCGAACGATATATATTTCGATTGAAGCAAATCATTGTTACAGTATGTACGCATATGTCACTCAGTGCTCAGGCTTAAAAATTCCTTCTCACTCTCGCTAAGAATGAAAAAGATGCGAAGCAAGAAGCAAGAATCAAAAAGCTAAATCGATTTTCGGTGAGGGCATTCTTCAAATCATTCGTTATTGTTTTCGTATTTTTCACATTGTTTTCCTCTTCATTGTATGTTTCCTTTTCATGTTTTCTTTGCCGTTGTTTCTTTTTCTTATTTCGGGCTTTTTCTCGCTCTCTTCTCTTCAACATTACCCGGCCCTATGCTCCACAGTGTCTATAAGCAATTTTTTTTCTTCACATCCACATATTGTGTATGTGTTTTTTTTTTACATTTTCCACTTGTGTATTGTTTTTTTTTTCCTGTCCAAGTTTTTAACGCTCACAACCCATTTCCATTGTGGCTCTGACTATTGCCATTATCCTCGGATTTGAAGAGCATATTCAGTGTAGTTATTATTCAAGTCCCGATGTAGGCGCAAACTTGCCCATTCGAAATACACTTTAATGTGTTTTTTCCCGTTATCGCCATT